TCACCCACCTGGGCTTCCTCTAGCATGGAACAGGCTGTCGTGAGGATTACATAATAAATAGACCATGAGTGCAATCCCAGGCACTGCTCTGGGCAAGGCAGCCTTCTGTGTGGGTCTATTCCCATTCCTATTCTTTAAAAGAATATCAAAAGAATGAGTATTTGTAGAACTAACATAAGATGCAAAATGCTTTCAAATGAAGTAATTGATCTAGTCATACTAATTAAGTAATACTGTTTGTATCAAGAATTATTAGACTTTCAACGAAATCAACTTTCTAAAGATTTAGCAATTTAGACAAAGACTTTATAGTGCCTAACATATTGCCCCAAGCAATACTGATCTTTTTATTTCAGTAAGACCATTCAAAACACAAGGACTTCTACATTATGGGTTTTCCTCATTAATATCAAGCTCAAGTTTGTACAAGAATATGCATTTCTTTTACTGTTCAGTTCCTTTTTATTTTGTGAAGTAGAAAATTTTTCTGTTAAGTACTTCCTGTAAATGGAGGCCTTCCATAAATGGCTATCAGTTTCACATTGAGAAACTCTTTTTCCTTTTTTCATAACTTTGGAGAATGTTGTCCCTAAACTTAATTCGTTCCATTACTCTCTTTATTAATCATTTTGAGAGTACTTTGACTTCTCGATATCATTCAAGAAAATTTCTAAAATTGTGATTAGGCCTTAAGTCACCAAAAATATTTTTTCTCCTTCTGATACATTTTCCATATACTATCTCATCTCTACAGATCTTGGACTAAAAGCTGATCTACCACGTGCTAATTGCACATGAATAGTTGTGTAGGATACCTTATTTGAGCTAAATTGAGATAACAGATGTGAAAGCACTTAGAAAATTTAAAAGCTCTATATGCATTAAGTTATTATTATACAAATGTGAGTGCAACATTTATTTATTAGGGATATGGAAACATGGGAGGATTTCAGAACATCTGAGCTAATGAGTCCAATATAGAATTATAGGCTAGAAAACCTATGTGTTCAGCATGATAGGAAACCCACTGTTGAGAAGAGCTTATATCATTACATTCAACAGGTTAAAAATATTATTAGTGAACTCAATTTTATCTCTTACATATTCATTGAAGATAATTTAATGCCAGAATATTGCTTAGATCAGAATAAAAGCAAACAACAGCCACAATTTTGAAAATCCCCTGTATTCCAAGACAGGTATTTTTAATATTGGTTCAATTGGAAAGCAAGTAATTAAGACAGCACTCCAGTGTTACTTTTAAAAAATATTTGTCAATGAATAAATTTAACAAGTGGAATGGCCATTAAATTTATCTCAATTTAACTTTAAACACTGTTTTTCCAAGTTAAGCAAAGCACTTTCAAACATCTGTTGAGCAGACCTTAAGGAGGACACACTTTCTGTGCATTACCGCAACCACCAGGAACTTCAGGTTTCTGGCCTCTGGCTAGAATTCCAGATCACTGGTAGGGGCTCTGATAAACTTGAAGTACAGGTATTTCTGAGAACATGGATGCGTTCTAGAGATTTTCTCTTAACTGCATTTTCCTTTCTTTTCCTAAGTAAAAAAGCCTGAAGATGGACTTACTGATTTCGTAGGAAACAGACTGGTCAGGCAAGCGTTAGCCAAGCTACAGTAACCCCCCTGGAGAAAGCCCTTGGCAAAGAACCTCAGGGTCTGAGCTCCTGGTTGGAAGGGGGTGTAACTAGCTGCATGTTTACACGAATTTTAATTGCTAATTTAAGCCTTTAAAAAGGTTAAAAATTATTGGCTAATCACATAACTTTGGGAAAGAATATGGTCCAGAGAGAATATGACAGGTTGTTAAAAGCAAATGAATTTCAAAAATTATTACAGCAAAAGGAAGAATAAGAAAAACATCAATTGAATGGTTATGGGATAGATGCAGGGAAATGGGACAAGGGTCACACCATTGTAAAATCTACTTAGCTTGCAATAAAGGCCCTTAAACTTAATCTATATGCTGCTCTTCTTCTTCCATCCCCTTAATCAATTAAGTAACTTTGTAACTAGGATGAGAAATAGACCTCCCAAGAGTAAAAAATGAACCTACATGGATAAATAATGCCAAGATCTGTATCAACACAGTGACCTAAATAACCCTATTCCTAAGACAAAGGAATTATGAATCACCTGTATACATCATGCCTTATGCTGAACCCCTAACCAAAAGGCCCTATAAAACCCCAAACCCTAAACCCTTAAGCGTGCCTCCTCTCTGAGGCTGCCCACTCTCCAATCTGAGTGGGTACTGTCTTATATCAAATAAACCTGCGTGTTGCATAAGCCCACTGTACTTGTGTCTAAACTCTTTTCCATGATAATGACAAGAACTCTCCAACCTCTACCACTGGTGGTAAATGCCTTTGTCATTTGCCTTTTTATTCAGCTTTATAGTCATAATACTATCCTTTTCTCTGTCCCTGTTTTATTTCAGGCGAGTAGGGAGGTAGAAGTTCTTGGAACATAAACTCACTCCAGCCAGTGTGCTGTCGTTCCCCCAAATTCTGGGGTATTGGGGATATAATTCCCATGCTGTGCAGAGTCAAGTGGACACTGGATACCAGGTAACCCTGGCTTTAGGGGCTGGCAAGGGATTTGTCCTATGCTGAGCAGGAGTTCAATGAGCTTCCGTTTTCTCCCTTGCTCTCTGCCACCTGCACGGCTGCTGCCACTCACTACCACTCTCGCTTTAATGAATTCCTTCCTTACCTACATTTGTCCGACTTGTTTGGGAATTCTTTCTTGATCAGAGTCAAGAACCCTCCCCACCAGGCTGAGGTTTTCCCTCCTGCACAGGGAGAGACCTCCCCAGACACAGCTGCCCAGCAACAGTTGAATGGTAGAAAAGTCACATAAATAAAACTGTTCAACAATAAATAACTGAGTATTTCATATTTTGACAGGTTAAAGCTTTCACACTATTTAAAAATGTATCCATTCATTTCTCCACAACTTTTGGCATTTCTAGGCTGGGAAACAGTCTCAAGACAAACTGAAACCTGCATTTAACCCAGCCTACGAGTTACAATTCCAGAATCCCTTTTTCCTATTGATCAGATGCCTGTAGTGCCATCTCCTACTTTTTTTGCAGCAGAAGTGCTGTATTGAGCAGAGGATTGCACAAGGCTTCTAATAGGCTCCTGGTTGCTGATGGAGGCCTATGTCTACATCAATTTTTCGATCACTGTGAGCAGTACACATGAGGAAAATAAGCATATTTACACAGACCCTCCATAGCTCGCCACATTCTAGACACCTGCGTATCTCACTCCTCTTTCTGCTTTTGAGTCAAGTACAAGTTCCTTCAGTTTTCTCAAGGGCAAAACAATTCCCAAAAGGGATGCCTTCTGATCGAAATGACAGGAGAAAGATCTGGGCTGTTCCAGCCACTGCCCCTAGCTTCTGAGTCTCATGAAGAAAGTAAGGGAGCAGTCTTGCTAGACTGATTACCTCTGAGTATTCATACACAGGCAGATGAGTAATTAATATCCTCTTTGAAAAAACTGCACTATGTGGAGAAATTTCATAAATTACATGAGCAGCTCAGAGACAAGTGATTCTGTTTTTGAAGTTGGCACAGTCAATATTAGCTAATGCTTATTAATAAACAAATGATCCTCCCTTACCCAGGGAAGAGAAGGATCAAAAAAGACCCAGTTTGTTTTAATACATAAAGACTACATTGCTCAAGGTTAAAACAAACTATGTCTCTAAAATGCTGTCATCAGAGAAATTTAACCACATATGTGATCCACAAATACTAACAAACAGCAAGACAGCTTGGGGAAAAAAGCTTTTAGACTCTTTATTTAAAAGAAATCAGTAAATGCAGTAATAAGGATTAAAAGACAATACTTAACAAGAAAGGGAAAATTATTCTTTTCTTGTCTCTCCAACATTTTCCATCTTCAAAAAAAGATTCTCCATCACCTCAACACTGCCATTCCCTGCACAAAGAACCCTGAGAACAATTCATTATTGAAAGAATCGAAAGGAGATGCAATATCCCATACTCTTTCTCTCTCCAGGGCATTTGCAGACAGAACAGCCGTGGTTTCCAGAACATTCTCTTAGCATTTTTCTTTCAAGAGCAGCTGCATGGAATGTTTACCAAAGGCTTTTAGAAACAGAATCTCACCAAACAGTTAGAAAAATATTTAACAACCCAAGCAAAGCAATTACAGTCAAATTTTCACCTCAAGATTCTCATTTTAGGTGTGGGAGGTGGAGAGAAGCCTCTTAACACACCAGTCTGAACTTAGAATGAGGATGAAATGAGTTGATTCTGCCAATAGCTGTCAACAAATCCATATTGCTGAATCTCAGGGCAGGACTGGAGAGCTAGCTGCCCATCTGAATGTACTTCCACAATGGCGCCACTGCTTGGTTACAGCTGACAACCAGTTTCTGAGCAGTGGGCTGAGGATGGGCTGCACGTGGACATCTCTACTAAGAACCTGGAAAGGCCTGAACATGAAAGATTCTGCTTTGCAGATATTTGCATCAGGCAGCATCAATTTCAACTACTCCAGGTGACCAGAAGCACAATTCAATACAAATGTGTGAACCTGGGTGGTAACTGACAACATTATGAAGAGTTACTACTGCTTACACCCGCAGACTTGTGTCCTGTCATCCAGCCACTTTACACCTTGTAATCTAGACTTTTATTACTCATTTTCATGACAATTTGATTTTTACATGGTATTATTCCCTTTAGGGCAAAGACTTTCTGGGAGCAGTAAGATCAGATATCATCTGTTCAGTAAGAATGGATAGCAAGGATCTGGGGATACATTCCATTATCTGTTTCTGTCTGGTTCACAAGAGAAGGGAATGCGAGCAGAGGCACTAAACGGGAAGATTCCTGCCAGGGGGACAGCAGGCACCCACTGCGAGCCACGGTTCCATGTCAGAGGGCACTCAGTGTGGGAGCCAGGCAAAAACATCGCACAGGCTCCTGATACATTACCTGGGCCATCTGCCGCTCCAGTTTTGATCGGGGAATATCATCAAAGTAGTTCTCATTTCTTCTTCTCCTTGCATCGCCCTGCATCATAATGTGAGGAACGTCTAGGGAGCCACCAGTGGTGTAGGTGCTTTGGCTAAGTGATGGAGACAGCTGTGGAGGAGTGTGATTACCACTGGGTTCCTGAATGGAAACACATCCTGAGTCAACACCATTTCTCACAGCTCACCTTTGCTTTAAACATTGTGAAATAGTGACGAGACAAACCATCGGGGTTGGAAGCCATTTTTGAGTCAACCCACTGCTAAGGAAGGGATGACATTCTACTATTTTATTAATGGCGTGATCTAGGCAGTACTTTGCTCCCTAAGTATTTCAGGCCAAAGGTGGAAGGCACAGAGTCAAGCTGTTTTCTTAAACTAGTACGATGGATGACCTCAGGAGAGAGTCACGTGTGTCGGGCACCCCTGGCACTGCCGTGTGTGTGTTTTTCCAGAGTAAGGACCTGTATTTGTGTGGACAGTGTCCTCTCCATGCCAAGTGCCAGGACAAAAAAGCCAAATTGGGACCTAATGCATCTTCATCAAAGAGTGGTCTGGCACTTGGGCAGGGAAGAGGACACGTTATGGAAACACAGCATGTCACATGCACAGACTGCGGAGCAAGGCACATGACAGGGGTGTGTGTCAACAGCAAGGAGGACTCCAGTGGAGGGACACTGGTGGGACGTAAGCTCAGGGGTGCAGACAGCTGGGCTCTAGCGTTTGCCAGCGGGAAGAGGGTGGATCAGGCAGACCCTCCAGGCCACTTCTCCCAGGAAGTGCTGGACCTCCTTTGAGGAGTTTAGGTCCGGCACTTTTCCTTGGAATCTCTGTCCTTGATCTGTTTCTTGTCTCCTAAATCTCTCCCAGGAAGCCAGAGGGAGAGGTTCAGAAGGGAGAGGAAAGAGCAGACCATGTAGCATGAAATTACTCCTCGAAGGAGTCATTCAGGATGGTTACACTGAGGGTGCCTATCTCTCCCTCTCCTTTCGTGTAATGAAGGTAAGACAGTAATCCTTTTCTAACTTCATTTTGCCCCAGTTTATTTGAGGCTCCTCTTACTGAGGGAGAAACATGGGTCCTTTTTCTGCTGTCACTACTCCCAAAGTCCCCAGCCAGCCTCCATGTAACCCAGGGTGGCCCAGTTCCCCAAGTCACTTTTCCTCCCGGCTCCCTCCTGGAGGGAGGTCTCTCGCATTCCCTGAAATCTCTGGGTACTTTCCAACTCAAATTTTAACAGCTCCTTCCTGCCTGACCCTCTGCTGTGCTAATAGTCAGGCTGCGGACTGAAGCCCCCTGACAAGGGGCACTCGACTGCGTGTCATCGCTGGCGGTCGTGTCTGAGTGTCCACGCCTGGGTTCCTCGTTTTTGTCACTACCCTGTTCACACTTGCAGAGAAGGGATCAGAAGCAAGCAAGCGTAGGACAAATAAAGACAGACTTGGAATGCTCCAACTAGTCAAGTAGATCCCTATTTTCCTCCCGGCTCCCTCCTGGAGGGAGGTCTCTCGCATTCCCTGAAATCTCTGGGTACTTTCCAACTCAAATTTTAACAGCTCCTTCCTGCCTGACCCTCTGCTGTGCTAATAGTCAGGCTGCGGACTGAAGCCCCCTGACAAGGGGCACTCGACTGTGTGTCATCGCTGGCGGTCGTGTCTGAGTGTCCACGCCTGGGTTCCTCGTTTTTGTCACTACCCTGTTCACACTTGCAGAGAAGGGATCAGAAGCAAGCAAGCGTAGGACAAATAAAGACAGACTTGGAATGCTCCAACTAGTCAAGTAGATCCCTGCTTTTAAAAAATTTTCATTTGTTTACTTACTTCTTATTGCAGTGTGAGTACGATAATATTATAATCATAAATGTTAAATATAAAATATTTATAATTACATATAATTAGTATAGTTTCAGGTGTACCACATAGTGATTCGACATTCATATACACCGATCCCAGCTTTTTGATGAATTTCTTGAAAAACCCCTTCTACAGGTCTCATGAAACTGTGACTTGTTACATACATGCTGTTCCTTCCTGCTGCCGTTGTGCCTGGCAGTTGCCTCTCACTGACTCTCTCTGCCCTTCCCTCCTTGCCTTCCGTCCCTTCCACTTTCTTTCTTCCTCCATTATATGGTTTCTCTCTCGTTTTTCTACCCCCTAAATCTAAAATATGGTTGAAATAGTTAATCAAATAAAGTCCTAGATTCTCTACTCTTAATTTTTACAGTGGGTAAAGCTGGACAATTTTTATTTCCTAAAATAGAGTAGACCCTTAGGTTCATTTTAAATTGATCTTTACTCAACTGTTTGAGGAGTTTGACAGAAAACTCATTTCCTCTCTCTGATGTAGCTGGGAGTGTGGGATGGGAGGAGTGGGGCTCGTTCTAGAAAGGTGGTGGTTTGTCAGATGTACATCTGAATCTCAAAAGTATACATTTAACCAATTGAGAAAAACAAATATTGTCTTATAAAGCATAATCAAACATGAGACTTTTTTCATACAGATAAGGTGAGCTACATGGAAAACAATCCATACTTCCTGACTCATTGCTTCAGTCATTTTATTTCATTGCACAAAATAATTGTTGAGGATAAGAGTGGAGAAGAAAATGACCCTGTGGGCACTTACCCTGAGGGTGATGGACCGAGGGGGTTTCTGTGGTGGATCGTCGTGCAGCCTGTCCCCCAGAGATGCCAAAATACGTTTCCTGTGGCCAATCAAATTGATTTTTAAAACCTGGAATGACACATATTTGGGTTAAATATTTCATGTGAGAAAAAAATGATTTTTATATGTCCTATATGACCAAGATGTGAAAGAAGGATCTGAGCAGTTACCTCAGCACCATGAGAGAGGTGGCATGACTTCAGTGGGACCCCACGAGTCCAGAAAGATTGGAACCACAGGGAGCTGGGCTAGAATGGCCCGAAGCAGTGCCGCAGACAGGGAGGCAGCACCTCCTTTTACTCATGCTGCCCGAGAGCCCAGTTCGCCACCCAGCAGCCACATCTTCCCCCGAAGAGGCTGAAAACTCTCCAATAGATTTCTGTTGCTCTTAGAATAAAATCCGAGTCCTGACCTGGCCTCAAGACCCAGCAGGGCTGGCCGACCTCTGTTCTTTGTCTGGGTCCCTGTCTCTCTCCCCTGCATCCAGGATGCTTGGCCACACAGGCCTTCTCCGGTCCTTAGCATCCCATACTCATTCTTGCCTGGGCCTTTTACCTCTGTCCATGAGCCTGGATTGCTGCCCCTGAGGTGTTCAAATGACACACCTTGTCATCCCTCAGACGTTGCTCAAGTATTGTCTCCTCACAAAAGACTTCCCCCAACTCCTCACTAAAGAACTGTGCCCTCAACTCCCATCATGCCCTACCTTTCTATCATCCTATGAAATAACTTTATTTACAGGTTTACTGTTGGTGTAACTCTCTCCCCCAGGTAAGCTTCCTGACAGCAAGGATCTGATATATCTTTATCCCTGTCATTTCCTAAATGGCTAAAGCGATGCTGGGAATCACAGGGGCTCAATGAATCTGAAAGCATGAGTGTTCATATAAAGTAGGGTTGGAGTCAAGCACTGTCTGTTTTGGGGAGACTCAGAGTTGCCCCAGGATGGGATTTTGATCTGATGGTGCTGCAGAGGGCACATTGTAGAACGGATGACAAAGGGAACAAGACTTGTACAGAGCCTCAGCCCCTACCTCCTCTGACAGCTTTCTAAATGCTACCCGTTTCAATCATCCAAGCATCCCTGTCTGGACAGGGTTCTTGCGTTACAGAAGAAGAGACTGAAGTTCAGAGTGGTGAAGTAGCCTACTTTAAGAGCCAGTATGTGGTGTTCCTGGGATTTAACAGGTTTGACTGATTCCCAAAACTTGTTTTTCTCCCAGGTAAACCACAAAGTTAGGGCATATCTCCAAACACTATTGACTTTTAAAAATAATATATTGTTAATCTATTAATAAGAAATGTATTTACCTCTTCCCAGTCCATGGATAGTTCCAGGGCAGGACACCTCTTGTTCATTAACTAGTTCCCAAAGTATATTAACAATTGTGTGAATGAGTTTTGAAAAATTCTCTCTTTTCAAGTTTTAATTTAAGGGGGAGAGGTGGGCATTTCTTTGGCACTCATCCTGTGCTACCTTAACTTTTTATTTGCCTATTTGTCAGTTAGCCTACTGGCCCTTCTGTGCAAGCTGATTTCAACTAGCATTATGCTCTCTTCCTTTTATATCTACTCTCTGACCCGTGCCTGTCGATGACAGTGATGGTAAATGTTAATCAAAGTGAATGCCCCCATGCACCATACCCCTCTGATTTTATAAGCTTTCATTTTCCCAGACTGATGAATCCTAATCTTTGCAGTTTGTTTCCACAAAGCAGTTCCTCTTTCCCACAGATCATTTTCATCAACTTTCTCGGTACCTTCTCCTACCTTATTACTGCTGCTTAAGGTTTGTTGAACAAATTAATCACAATATTCCAGGTGTTCAGTGAACTGTGCCTTTACTTTGAATGGGATACTATATTCTGCTCTAAATGCCCCTTTTAAGATGCCCTTTCTAAGCACTCCTGATTTCTGGCTGGCCTTTTAGCTGCAGTAGGAATAACTAGGGACAAAAATATACACTGACGGTAAAACCTCTCACTTTTGTTGTAGCTGATACCTCAAAGCCCTTTCATCTTGGAAGGATGGTTTGTATTATTTCTCACTAAATTCCTCATCTTACAGTTCTCCATGCAGAATCCCATCTGCCATCCCTCTGCCCACTCACAGAAACCTGGGTTGTCTTTCTGCATTTATATTAGCCAGCATGGCATTTCACTACCTAGAGGAGCTTAGCAGTTTTTCCAGATTTGGAATTGCACCATACATTCCTTCTTTCAGATGATTGATAAATATGCTAAATAAGTGTGGTCCCAGGACTGATTACTTGCAGGCAGCACTGTTTATATGATCCAGAGATACACCCTTGTATTCTTGCATTGTTTCTCTTTTTAAAACATTGAGATCAAAGAATTCCTATATTTCAGAAAATACATTAACCTTTTCAAGTGTATTTGCAAGTCTAAAAGACACTGCATTTTTTATTTCTTTTTATTCTTCTCGATTACTTTGCCATAGGCTTCCACTGGATATAAATTCCTCCTACAAAATCCCCACAGCCTTCCTCCCAGTAATCAAACCTGGACTGATAGTACTACGCTGGGCACCTGAAAACTGCTGAGAACTGTTTTTATAGTAATTAAGACATTCAAAATTATTTTGACAAGTAACTGACACTAAATAGCAAATTTCTGTGGTAAAATGGAGCCGGCGTCACCTCCACTGCTGCTTTGGTTTCGTCTCCAACACCTCAATTCTGGGCAAGTTACAGGACTCCTCTGACCTCGGTTTTCCCATCTCACCTATATATTGAGGAAGTTAATGCCAATCTCAAATATTGCTGGGAAGCTGAAGAGTGAAGTTACGAGAATAGCCAGCACAGTGGCTGGCATATAGGAGATGCACCTTCACAGTACACTGATTCCAGCTAATGGACTCATGGAAACCCTGACCCAAAAAGACAAGGACATGGTCATTTCCAGAAAGTTAATCATATTAATAAATAGGCTGGTACTTTGCATGAAGCAATTTGGCTGACCTTGGGAAAGCCCTCCCTGAAGTGATGTGTACTGGTAGGAACAGGTCTTGTTTCCAGCTGGTAGTTTAATACTAGACCTAATCTAAAAGAATGTATACTATTCTCCCATGTGCACCATTTAATCTCCAATGGGGGTGAGCTGAGAACTCCTCCACACGAGAGCTTCATTGCTGCCTCCTCCACGGAACTATGCAGAAGAGGATGGACAGATGGCTAGATGGACAGAACGAACAAATTAACACAGGGGGGTGATCCATGTCAAAAACACTTGAGTAACTCTCCTTATTTATTAGAAATGATCCCATATTATAGAAGATAATGATGATTACTATTGACTGAATATTTGTTATGTTCTAATCATGTTAGAAATGGTACCAAGTGTATTATGTATGTGTAAATATCTAATTTAATCCTTATAATAACAGTATCATTCCTATTTTAGAGCTGGAAAACCTAAGAAAAATATTAAGTAACTTCTCTCAGGTAGCACTGCTAACAGGTATCACGGCTGGGATTTGTATCTGATTCTTAACCTCTTCTTTGGCACTCACCATGCACTTCTTGCTATAATGTTCTACATTGGTCCTAGCCACCCTCTTAGTTACACGTTGTAATCCTTCTTAAGATGGGGCTTTTTGAGTTATTATGTTCAAATCATTTATACTGGGTCTTGAGTATAGAAAACATTAAAATAACACAGCTTCAGTTTTGAACAAGTCTCATAACAGTGTTAAAGCTGCAGGCCAAAGGAGCTCAGGTGGGTACCTTACAGAATTCCCTGTGAAATGCATATATAGACAAAGGACAGGAAGTCCTCAACCCAAGAGTCAGTCCAAGTTGGCTAATATTAGAGTGGTAGGGAGGGTGACATGTGGCTTCAAAACTCCCAAGTCGTGGGGGGGACTTGGGGTAGGGGAGAGCCTAGTAAACATAATGTTCTTCATGTAATTGTAGATTAATGATAACAAAATAAAATAAAATAAAAAATCTAAAAAAAACAAAAACTCCCAAGTCGACAATAGGAAATCCAATTGGCAAGACAATAACACAGAGAATATGACAAAGAAAGGTAAGTATGGAAAAGTCAAGTCCAAAAGCCATTGGGTTTGCCTTGATGAGAACAGCTTAACATCTGACCATCACTGTAAACAGATTAGGAGGTAGTGGAATCCTACCACCCCAAGGCACCGTAACTGATGCACAGTCAGTTTGCAAGCGCCAGAGCAGTGGTTACTGTGGTAGAGAAGGATTCTGCACTGTTTTCAGTACTGCTTGGATGAGAGATAACTGCACGCAAAAGGAACCCAATGGGGGTAAAAGGTAAAGTAATGGTAAGACATTGGGGATTTAGTTATTCTAAGATATTGAGCCAATTCAATTCATCTCAAAAAACAACACCAAGTTTCTGCCACAGTAGAAACTTGAGTGAAACTCATCTGGCAGATACAAAGGGGAAACTTGGGCAACTGGGTATGAATAACTATGTAGTCAGACCATTAACCAAGAAAAAGTTATCACACACATGAGAGCATAAGACTGTGGTCCAACTGCTGAGTTCCAATAGATAAGAAATAAAAGGTGCAGCAGGTTTTCTTAGTGGTTTTAATTACAACTATCCTGATAAATGTGGGTCAAAGGCAAGGAATGTTGGGGAACCAACATGGGCCTGCCACATACTGGTACCCACTCACCAGAGGTGTAGCTACCTCTAGGGATTTTCTCCAGTATCAGTTAAGCAGGAATCTCATCACAAATCCTGGCAACAGGAGAATAACTGTGCAGAGGGACAACGCTGTGATATTATGTCACTGTCATTTCTGTTCCTGGGTTTAGCTGTGGGAATTCTGCTAGACAGTATCATGACATTGCCTTCACATTGAAGAGCTCACATCAGAATATATGTCATAGCACCACTGAAAGTCAGTGCAGATTTTGTTTTTTTTTTCTTTTTAAATTTAATGTGATATAAATTAAACATGTTAATTTAACATGATGTAAATTAAACATGTTTCTAACCTGCTTTTTAAAAATTAAACAATGTATTGATCATAATAATAACATTGCTTTCCCATCATAGAGACAGAAACTA